AGCTGTTCAAGTAACAAATATCTATAATCACTGAATGGAGTAACAGAACACAGGCAGATAGTGGCCTCCAAGTCTAAGAATTTACTTGCCAGTATGTGCTGTTGAATCCTGTATTTTCTCCAGTAGCCACGAACATCCATCCCCTTCCAGGATTTATATTACTTCATGACTATCGCTTACGTCTTATGTTATTGCCTCACACTCAACATGTCTTAAATTGAATTTATTATCTCTTCTCCCAAGTCAACTCCCATTTAACTTCCGTATGCTAATGATAATATCTCATGGCTCTCACTGGAATCCTCTTCACTTGATAAATACCATCTTCTTTCCTGCTTCTCGTGGTTTCTTCTGAATTCCACCACTCTCCTTTCATTTCATCTGACTGATTTTTAAAATTCTATTTAATGTTTTCTTGTGTTATAATACTACTTCCATCAATTCTTTTTCTTCATTCAATTTTTAAAAAAATGAAAACAAAATACCTTTTTTCATTTTACATACCAGTCCCAGTTTCCACTCCCTCCCAACCTACCCTCTATCCACTCCCCAGAGAGAGTAAGAGACATTGCTCCAAGGAAGATCCAAGACCCTCTGCATTATACCCAGGCTGAGCAAGGTATTCGTTTAAAGAGAAAGGATTCCAAAAAGCCAGTAGAAGCAGCAGAGACAAATCCTTGTGCCACTGCCAGTGGCTTCACAGTCTGCCCCAGCCATGCAACTGTCACCCACATTCAGAGGTTCTAGCTTGGTCCTCTGTTTGTTTCTTTTCAGTCCTGCTGGTGTTGGTGAGCTTCCATTCCCTCAGGCAGACTCTTTCAGTGGGTGTCTCCATCATGGCCTTGACCTCTTTGCTCATATTATGACTCCTCCCACTCTTCAGCTGGACTTTGGGGGCTCAACCCAGTGCTCCACTGTGGGTCTCTGCCCCTGTCTCCATCAGTTGCTGGATGTAGGTTCTATGATAACATTTAAGATGTTCATCAATCTGATTACTGGCCAAGACCAGTTTGGGCAGCCTCTCCACTATTGCTTAGGGTCTTAGCTGGGGTCATCCTTGTGGATTCCTGGGAATTTTTTTAGTGCCAAATTTCTTGCTAGCCTTGTAATGGCTCCATTAATCAAAATATCTTTCCCAGCTCTCCATCTCTATCTCTTCCCCATCGACTATCCTGTTCCTTCAAGTTCTCCTTCCTTTCCTTCTGCCCTCCTCTCTGCCTTCTGCTCTCCCTTCTTCCCCCACCCCCATGCTCCCAATTTTGTCAGGAGACTTTGTCTGTTGTAAGGGGACCACTTGTTTGTTTCCTGGCTGCTTAGCCCCAAAATAATCACTCAGAAACTGTATTAATTAAATCACTGCTTGGCCCATTAGCTCTAGCTTCTTATTGGCTAACTCTTACATTTTTACTTAACCCATTTCTATTAATCTGTGTATCACCACGTGGCTGTGGCTTACTGGCTAAAGTTCCATCTCTGGCGAGCGGGGGGGGGGGGACACATGGCTTCTCTCTGGCTCTGCCTCCTTTCTTCCAGCATTCAGTTTAGCTTTCCCCACCTAGCTAAGTTCTGTCCTGCTATAGATCCAATGCAGTTTCTTTATTCATTAATGGTAATCACAGCACACAGAGGGGAATCCCACATCACCATGTCTATTTCCCCTTCCCAGGGGAATCTACATGTTTTCCTTAGGGTCCACCATGTTACTTAGCTCCTTGATGTGGGATTCCTCCCTGTGTGCAATATCATTGTTTAATAAAGGAACTGCTTTGGGTCTATGGGAGAGCTATAAGGAAAGAGAGCTAGGCAGGGAAAACTAAGCGGAATGCTAGGGTGAAGAAGGTGGAGTCAGAGAGAAGCCATGTAGCCCCACAGGAGCCAGACAGAATGTTAGCTGATAAGCCACAGTCACGTGGCAATACATAGATTAATAGAAGTGGGTAAATTAATATGTAAGAGTTAGCCAATAAGAAGCTAGAGCTAATGGGCCAAGCGGTGATTTAATTAATACAGTTTCTGTGTGATTATTTCAGGGCTAAGCAGCTGGGAACAAACAAGCGACCACTCCTCTAACAAATTCTCTCTGTGCAACAGCTTCTCTAGGGTCATGGACTATAGGCTTGTTATCCTTTATAGTTAGTATCTATTCAGAATGAGTACGTACCATGTTCATCTTTCTAGGTCTGTGCTATCTTACTCAGGATGGTATTTTCTAGTTCCATCTGTCTGCAGGCAAATTTCAAGATGTCACAGTTTTTTACTGCTGAGTAGTACTCCATTGTGTAAATACACCAGATTTTCTTTACCCATTCTTTGGTCAAGATGCATCTAGGCTGTTTCTAGGTTCTGGCTATTACAAATACTGCTGAACTGTTCTTCAAAATATATAAAGAACTCAGGAAATTAGACATCAAATTTCCAAATAATTCAATGAAAAATGGGGTACAGATCTAAACAGAGAATTCTCAGCAGAAGAATCTCAAATGGTCAAAAAACACTTAAGGAAATATTCAACATCCTTAGCCATCAGGGAAACTCAAATCAAAATGACTCTGAGATATCATCTTACACAAGTCAGAATGGCTAAGATCAAAAACACCAAAGATATCTGATGTTGAAGAGGATGTGGAGTAAGGGGAACACTCCTCCATTACTAGAGGGAATGCAAATTATGGTGGCAAATCACTATGGTGGTATAGCAGAAAATTGGGAATCAACCTACCTCAGCATCCAGCCATACCACTCTTGGGCATATCAATTCTTTTTTTTTCTTTTAAATACTGCCTGGCCCATTGGTTATAACCTCTTATTGGCTAGCTCTTACATATCGATTAACCCATTTTTAATAATCTGTGTAGCCCCACGAGCTGCTGGCTTACCAGGGAGATTCTTAACCTGCGTCTGTGTTGGGTGGGAGACTCATGGAGAGTTTCGGTTTCTCAGAAAATTCAGGATCAACCTACCCCTGGATCCAGCAATACCACTCTTGGGAATATACCCAAGAGAGGCCCTATCATACAACAAAAGTATATGCTCAACTATGTTCATGGCAGCATTGTTTGTAATAGCCAGAACCTGGAAACAACCTAGATGCCCTTCAACGGAAGAATGGATGAAGAAAGTATGGAATATATGCATATCAATTCTTTAAGCTTCTCTGAAGACAGTGTGAAAAATAGTGTTTCTTCACACTCCTCAAGGACATCATATATCTACAGTTTATGGACTCCAACTATTCCTGAACAGAATTATACCATTCAGCTAATTTTGTCTATTATGTATGGGAAAATACTCCTGCCTTCACATTATACTTGGCTTTACTATTCTGAGCCCTCCTGTTGAAAAAGCCTATACCTCAGGCAATTGAATTCAGTTGCAGCAGAGAATCTTGCTAACTCAGGTCATGACAACCCCATCCCACACCTTTCATTCATCTGTGTATTTATCTGTGATGCAGTTCCTTTTTCCCATGCATTACATTGGTGTCAAAGTCTCTGGTCCACTGTTACCAAGAAAATTAACAAATCATGCCAGCAAGAACTTCCCCCTTCTTGATATCTAAACATATTCCTCTTAGTAATTCCTTGTGTGTTTGTTTTAGCATCTCCGTGACTCCATTTATAAATCCCCATGTGACTTTGCTTTGTGTAGAGACAAAGTCAATTTGTCCCCATTGACTCTGTTGACTCCACTGCACTTGTTTTGATGAAAGTCTTCCTTTTCAATTTAAACAAGCATCAGAAATTTTCTTTTTGGTTAGTCTCTGGGAAGAATGACCCCTAAATAAATAATATACCAAAATAATCCTTTTCATCTCACTGGGCAGGGGAACATTCATATTTTTATTATATTTTTGTAGTACCTGTAGTTATGCATCTTTGGGCATTTTTTTGGAAACAAGGCTCCATTAAAGTTTATTTAAAACCATGCTCTTTCTAAAATGTTTGCCTGCAAACTGTATTTAGAATTCTGTCGGGAATACTTGACCACATGGTCTGGACTCACTGTAGAACACATTCTACTGTCCTTTCTTTCATGTTTGAGAAACTCAATGCATTTTCCCCAGAATATAGTAAATGAACAGCTAACATGGACAGCAAGACCTCTCAGGGGGGTAGAGGTGCTTGCTGTCAAACCTGATCTCTCTCTCTCTCTCATAACCCCCAACACATACACCACCACCACCAAAAAAATAAGAGATATCTTAAGAAAACAACATAGCTGTAATTCTTCTTCAAATTGCTTTTATTGGACAGTTGACACACACTAGCTATAAACAGCTAGTCTATTTTCACACAGAGGATCAAGAGGCACACTGATAAACACATGCATTGAACAAGAACCATTATTAGTACATAAACATACTAGGATCTGGGCATGAAACTTTAGTACCAATTATATGGGTCTAGACATTAAAAGCCTTCAACAGTCACACATATTTCCCAATTTCAATTGTATTAGAAACACAGCATCTGTTGTTAGAAGCTAATTGCTTACTGGAAAAGAGAAGAAATGTCTGCACAAAGACTAGCTTTTAGCTATATCTCAGGGTTCAATTTTAGTAAATTGAAAACATAATTCTATCATATTTCTATTCCACGAATAAACATACGACAATTCTTCAATGGCATAGTCACTCACACAGCATCAGCACTGTGTTTGGTTGACACTTTGGGGAAGATCACTCTCATTTGACTATGTACGTTCATTTGTTTTGAGAATTTCTATTATCACTAGTGAAGAGAAATGAACAGTGTGATGATATGGGAGAGTCTTCTGTTTTGTGTTGATTTCATTGGTTAAATAAAGAAACTGCCTTGGCCCTTTAAATAGGACAGAAAATTAGGTAGGTGGAGTAAACAGAACAGGATGCTGGGAAAAAGGCAGTGAGGTCAGTCGCCATGATTCTCCTCTCTGAGACAGACACAGGTTAAGATCTTTCCTGGTAAGCTAGGTGCTACACAGATTATTAGAAATGGGTTAATCGAGATGTGAGAGTTAGCCCATAAGAGGCTAGAATTAATGGGCCAGGCAGTATTTAAAAGAATACAGTTTCTGTGCAGTTATTTCGGGGCATAAACTAGCCAGGAGTGCGGGAGCCGGGCGGGAATGCAGCCCGCAGCTCCTTCTATAGTGTGAAAACCTAACACACACAGTCTTATCCCAAACCAGTGAACTCAGTGATGTGGCACCTAACACATATGCCCATGTACTACACCAAGTCAACAGGTTTTAGTTTCCCAAGTAGCATGGCGACTTTTGCCTAAATAGTTTTGTTTCTTAACTAAAACGTCAATTTTTCCATAGGATTGTTTTGTGGGATGCTGGAAGATAGCTGAGATAAAGAGTTCATTTTCAACATTCTATCTTCCTCCTAACAGATAAGCTCTTCTTCAACAGACAACCTAGAATAATGAACTATATTAAAAAAAAATCACGGTTATAACAAATTACAATTTCCAGGGCACCCATTTGGCTGACAAAACAGTGTTTAAAAACATACTGTGTGTGATATTTAGAGTATGTCAAAAATATATTTATTTAATATGAATTATTCATTTGTTTTAACATTATGAACAAATATCCATAAAATAAAGCATTGTTACCAAACTTATCGTTGGAATTGTTTGGTTTCTTTTCTTAAAACTCAAAATCTAGTAGCAAGAAATTCAATAGGTTGTGTAAATAATTAGTTCCATGATGATTCCACTGATGAAAAAATAAATACAATGTAGAAATAAATAGCTTTGTAGTAAAATAGAAATAGTTCTGCCTGTTGTCGAATAAATAAGCAGCATTATCCATTTTGATACTAAATCTCCTGTGTGATCTAGTATGTGATGCTCTTAGCAGCCAGCAGCGTGTTCCTCAGAAGCATGGCGACAGTCATGGGTCCCACACCTCCTGGCACTGGAGTGATGAAGCTGGCTTTCTCCTTAACAGCTGAGGAGACAGAACATTTCTTCGGTTAGGTGCATCTAAGAATACCATCTTTTATGTCTATTTCCTTATTATCAACATGGTTCCATAAACCTCCAATCATTTATAAGCTGAAGTAGGCTATATTGAACACACACACATAAGCGTTTGTGCATGCACATACACACACACACACACACACACACACACACACTTTTTTGATATCTATGTTGGACACAAAAGGATATACTCAATTTCCACACTTCAGTTTTATATGAACAAAAGCAATAAGCTATGATCAATGTGATTGCCTGACATTCATGCTATAACTTGTAGAAAAAAGTAGGCTTACAGAATGGAAGTTGGGCTAACAATACTCACACAGCTATAGGTAGTCACGTGGAGCCCTAAAGTGGGAACACGTTCATCTGATTTAGCTTAGATGCCATGTGCCAGGAGCCACAGGGCAGCAAGGCAAAGTCTTAAGCATATTTCAAGGTTGTCCCAAGTCTGGACATCAGGGGCTGCTGGGCTTGCTCACAGTTATGGGAGAGAGAGAGAGAGAGAGAGAGAGAGAGAGAGAGAGAGAGAGAGAGAGTCTCTGAGCACTGCAGGTTAGCCATAGCATAGCTGGCTTTGAGAGGGTGAGTCAGCCAGCCTACAGGACGATGGGAGCTGATTTGGGGAGGAGACACGTAGAGGATCTCTTATCTAACAATTTCACTTAACTAACTCAAAAGGATATGAAATTGGTCATAAGCAGAAGATGGGATGCAGGGACTCATCCCTCTCCTCTTTGACAGAGGCACAACTAGGTTTGAAAAATTCTATATTTCCGAATTGCACCCCTTCCCAGTATAGATGTATTATGGAAAAGTCCCCAGTGGCTGAAGGGAGAGCAATGAATCCTAGGATGTTCTGAATAAAAAGAAACACACTGGAAGCAAATGCAACATACCCATTTTCCTACTTTTTTATTCAGAGCACTTACAGTACAAGTCCCATGTTACACTTCAAATCACAAAGCTGCTTAGCAAGCAGTATGGGCCATTTTCTTCCTCTGATGTCAGGTCCAATAAACCACTGGTATACCTGAGTCGCACAACCTTCCTTTTTCAAATTGTGGTCTTTTAATCACATGCTTAGGATTACATTCATGCTCAAAAAGTAAGAACTGCATTGAGGGATAGGACTGGGAATGGGCTGTTGCATTAAACACCTGTACGACATCTTAGCTCAGAATCTGCACTTCTTGCCTAGGTTGCTAGTGGAAACCATACGTGCGCGTCCTGTCCTGCCTGTCCTTCATGCGGATCTTCACCTGCCTTGGGTTGGGACTTCCTTGGATGTTAACAAGCCTTTATTAGCATTAGTGGATGTCTGCACATTACTCAGAGGGCAGAAGATTAAGCATTGCTTTGAACACAGTTGAACATCCAAGTACTATTTGCAATTATATTTTATGTATGAAACGAAGTGAATACACATGGAGGCAAGGTTTGTACACAGTGATGAGAGGGAAAAAATAGTAAATTTTTAAAAGCACATATTAGGTTTCTCTGACATTTTTTAATTTTCTTAAGAGAAGAAAGAAGTTTATATGTATGTTGTTGGATGGTGTTATTGTAGTTTATAGTCTATTTACATAAGGAAGAGGAACACCCTTTTCAGGTGAGGAAACCCTAGCAGATGACGTCAGTGGGTAAAGGAAAAGTGCTCATCTAGGAAGGACTGTCATCTATAGTCCCAGGACTCATGAGGCTGAGAAGGGAGAGTAACTTGCAGCCAGAAATTCACAGCAAGTCTGGACAATAAAATAAGACCTTGTTTCTTTAATAATAAATATTTTCTAATAACAATTTTGTATAACCGTCTCAAGGCTTTCATAAGTTATATGCTTGTGGAGTACCACAGATGGTTTGAGATGAGATTAGTCTTGAGAGAAGATAAAAATTCAGGTCATGTTTGTGAATTGTGAAATACATCTTCCTTGATCAAGTCTAGAAAAGAGTAAGTTAATGAGCACAGAGTCACTAGAACAACTCATAGAACGTTTTCATAAGAGCAGGCTAGCTTTGTACCTGCTTATAAAAAGAATGCTTCCAGTGTGTATGTGTGTGTGTGTTTGTGTGTGTGTCTGTATGCATGTTTATCTCTGTGTGTATGTCTGTGTATAGCTGTCTTTGTCCATCTGTGTGTCTCTGTCTCTGTGTGCATTTCTGTGTGTCTGTGTGTATCTCTGTGTATGTATCTGTGTGTGTCTGTGTCTGTGTGTATGTGTGTGTGTATCTCTCTGCATGTGTGTGTACATCTGTGTGTATGTCTGTGTGTGTGTCTAATGTGTGTTTTGGAAGCTTCCTTATGCTTCATTGCAGAGAACACAGAAATATTATAGAGCAATAACTCCATTCAGAGACAAACTTACTGTGGCTCTACAAGTGGGGTAGTGTGTGTGTGCATGTGTTCAAGAGAAATACTGTGTGTCTGTATCTCTGTGTGTGTCTGTGTGTATCTCTGTGTATGTATCTATGTGTCTGTGTGTGTATCTCTGTGTGTCTGTGTGTGTCTCTGTGTATGTATCTATGTGTCTGTGTGTATGTGTCTGTATCTCTGTGTGTGTCTGTGTGTATCTCTGTGTATGTATCTATGTGTCTGTGTGTGTATCTCTGTGTGTCTGTGTGTATCTCTGTGTATGTATCTATGTGTCTGTGTGTATGTGTCTGTATCTCTGTGTGTGTCTGTGTGTATCTCTGTGTATCTATTTGTCTGTGTGTGTATCTCTGTGTGTCTGTGTATGTATCTATGTGTCTGTATCTCTGTGTGTGTCTGTGTGTATCTCTGTGTATGTATCTATGTGTCTGTGTGTCTGTGTGTGTATCTCTGTGTGTCTGTGTATCTCTGTGTATGTATCTATGTGTCTGCGTGTATGTGTGTGTATCTCTGTGTATGTATCTATGTGTCTGTGTGTCTGTGTGTGTATCTCTGTGTTTCTGTGTATATCTCTGTGCATGTATCTATGTGTCTGCGTGTATGTGTGTGTATCTCTGTGTATGTATCTATGTGTCTGTGTGTCTGTGTGTGTATCTCTGTGTGTCTGTGTATATCTCTGTGTATGTATCTATGTGTCTGTGTGTATGTGTGTGCATCTCTGTGTGTCTGTGTATGTGTCTGTGTATATCTCTGCATGTGTGTGTACATCTGTGTGTATGTCTGTATAATTATACTGAAATAATTATAACAAAATGCCTGAGAATTAGGTATTAGATTGGTCAGTAAGTTCATAATCCACTAAAGAACACAGAGAAAAATCAAGAGTCAAATTCAATTTCATAAAATCATCATAGTTTTAGAGTTATTGAAACTGACAATTAAAGGAAATAAAATACCTGTTAGGTTCTATTATCTGTGTGCAACACACCCAGAAATAAATACCCGTTCAGTTCCATAACTGTGTGCAATGTGCCCTGGGGATAAGGCTTAGATAGAAGTGACAATAACAGCAAATTCTTGAAAAGAACTTTTTTAGGAAAAACAATAATTATAACAAAATTTTATTTGAATGACCTCTTTACAAAGCAGATGTTGTAAAGTAACTTCTACATATTTTCTTGAACTTATGGGCATGGTTATACTGGTCACTCTCTCTAACATGCCTGCTCCCTATTCCACGTGGTGAACATATTTGTTCTTCCTCCTCAGTCTGGTAGAGATGTCAATAGAGCTGGTTAGCTCCCTGGGTTGAGTTAACTGTTCACTTATTACTCCATGAAATTTACCGAATAGTGTTCAAGGTAAAGTCCTGAGAGCATTAGGATATCCTGTCTAAGCCACTATGGCTGCTCCTTCCCCTCCCTCTAGACTCTAGTGTAAACCCCTCGGTGTCCTAGACTGTACTGGAGAAAGACCTGTGCTTCCCAGGTGAACAAGGTGGTGGAAATTTAAGGCCTGATTGAGGTAGGGAGTCATTGTTTTGGAGAGTTATATCATATGGAAGCTTCAGGTTGCTAGGCAATCCCCAATGGGCAGGCAGTTTTGAAACCTCTACAGAGTCACAGTTGGTAATATTTCATTGGCTAAATCATGTCTCACTATCACTGTTAAACTCTAAATTGTGGGATAAGAATAGTGGCATAGTTACTTTGCAAAGGGGATGTGCCAGGACACAGGAAACATGTGACCATGTTTTATAGTCTACAGTAGCAATGGTTGATGTCCTGTCTACCATTTCAGCCATACCATCTGTGGCCAGATTTATTCTTTAAAACAGGTCTGATCAGTTCACACATAGACATTAGCGGAATTGTTACTAACCTTAGGATAAAGTCAAAAGTATTCATCATGGCAGCCAAGATGTATTGTCCTCTGGTCCTATTTTCATATCTGATTATTACTGTTCCTACACATATTACAAACCAGCCAAGACAGAGTCACAGAAAATTTCCCTTATGTAAGACATAGTTATTAACCCTTGGAACTCACAGTCTTATAGAGACACATATTTTAAAAATGCAATTACTCAAGCAGTAATTGAGCAAAGGCTGTGGTGTATGCTAAGGTAAAATGTTTAGGGTATTGTGAATGAGTCGGGAGGACCTTCCTAACCTGATCTAGGTGTGGCACAGGGAGCCAGGTTTTTCCAGGGAAGAAAGAGAGAGTTCAGGCAGCGCTCTTGTTAGGAGCAATCAAGATGGAAAAACAAAACAAAACAAATCTCTTGGGTGGAAAGAGGCTTGAATCTGGGAAAGTCGCAAGAAGATTAGTGTTGCTCATCTATCGGTAAAAGGAATCGACAGGAGAGGCTACGGAAGAGCAGGTGGTTTGGAGAGCACTGGCTTCCAAACCACCTAAGTATTTTAGAACCTAAAATCAACCACTCAAGTATTTCTGAAGGGAAGGATGGAGACAGGCTTGGCTTCATGCTCATTTCCATTATTCTCACTTGACGAGAACTGATTTTCGTATCAGCGTTAGAACATTAGGTATGGAGCAAAGGTTACATTTCATGCTCAAAAAGGAGGAGATGA